TACATTTACTTTTCTGTCTTATTCTCTTTTTGCTCTAGGCTTTTCATCTATTTGTTTGATCCTAATATCCTTTCACATTGAGGGAGGAAATGTGTAATAAATGACAGAAAATGACATGCTTGTGATTGAAATACTGGTTAAGTCCCATTTAAATGGGAGGGCAGAAAGTGGTTCAAGAGGGCAGTGTAGGAAGATCCTGAACTCATGTCCTCCCACAGACACAACACACAAACAGCTCCATATGGAACCGTTCCATCAGAAAAGAACTTGAGAACTACCTGAATAGCTACTCCATAAGAAAGGACGAAAAGAACACACAGACATGTGCTCTTGCCAAAACCCCCAGCACAGTGACCCACAATTGGGAAAAAGCTTAAAACACAACACAAATATGAATAAATATATACATACATAAATCAATACATATACACAGCTTCTCCCTGAGGAGCAAGGGGTTTGTACTCCATGATAGATACCACAACGCTGCGGGCCTGAACCAGAGTGAGGAAGCCCCAAAATGTCTGGCTTTGAAAGCCAATGGGAATTACATTAAGGAGAACCACAGGGCATTCAAGAACAAAGATTTCCCTCTTAAGGGGCTCACATGCAGGACCCAGCTCAAAAAGCAGCAGTCTGAAAAAAGTCTAGACCACAGATGAAGGAGGGTAGAAGTCTGCTGGTATTCTCTTCAGGGATGGAATGCTGGCAGATGCTATTTTGACGGGTTACTTCCACACTGCCAGTGATAGTATTGTGGGTGCCATGTTTTGCATCTCATTCTAGCCAACTAACAGTTATGGGAAAGCAAGCCCTTCTCCCCACTGCAAGCACCTCCAGATGCAGCAGGTGAGCAGACCCATGCCTTCCACCCTTCGCTGCTCGTGCGACCCTGCCTTCATTGAACAGGTATGTGTAGTGCACACGGGGAATGTCCCGTGAGCACCAGGCTTAGGTGTGCTGGGGAGGATTGGGCTTCTGGACCCCACAGAACTGAAACAACTGGAGAGACAACTCAAGAGACAACCAAGAACAAGGGTCAGGTTAAACATTAAGATTCATCTCCTACACAGAGCCACTCCCCGAGATAGGGAGATAGAGCTGTTTTACAAAATACACAAAACCAAACAGAGTGAAGTAAAATGAGGAAACAGAGGAACATGTTCCAAATGAAAGAACAAAATAAAATCCCAGAAAAAATCCTTAATGAAACAGAGATAATTTATCCGAGAAAAACTTCAAAGTAATAGTCATAAAGATGCTAACTAAAGTCAGAAGAAAATGGATGGCCACACCAAGAACTTCAACAAGGAGATAGAAAAATATAGGAAAGTACCAAACGCAAGTCACAGAGCAAAAGAATACAATAACTGCTGTGAAAAATACACTAGATGGAATCAAAATGAGGCTAGATGATACAGAAAAATGGATCAGTGATCTGAAAGTCAGGGTAGTGGAAATCACCCAAATAGAACAGAAAACATGAACAAATAAATTCAATGGGGATATATTTAAGGATCTGTGGGAAAATATCAAACATACTACATTCACATTATACACATCCCAGAAGGAGAAGAAAGAAGGGGGCAGAAAACTTATTTGAAGAAATAATGGCTGAAAATTTCCTTAACCTGGAGAAGGAAAAAGACATCCAGGTCCAGGAAGCACAGAAAGTCCCAAATGAGATGACCCAGAAAGATCAACACCAAGACATGTTGTAAATAAATATCAAAAGTTAAAGATAGGGGCGCCTGGGTGGCACAGTCAGGTAAGGGGAAAAGACAGTCTTGTCAACAAATGGTTTTGGGAAAACTGGACAGCTACATGCAAAAGAATAAAAAAAAAATGAAACTAGATCACTGTCTTAAAGCATATGCAAAATTTAACTAAAGATGGATTAAAGATTTGAATGTAAGACCTGAAGCCATTAAGATCCAAGAAGAAAACATAGGTGGTAAGCTCCTTGATATCGGTCTTAGTGATATATTTTATTTTGGATCTTACTCTATAGGCAAGAATAACAAAAGCAAAAATAAACAAATGGGAGGGGTGCCTGGGTGACACAGTCAGTTGAGCATTTAACTCTTAATTTCAGCTCAGGTCATGATCTCAGGGTCCTGGGATGGAGCCCCGCATCAGGCTCCTGGCTCAGCAGGGAGTCTGAGGATTCTTTCCCTCTCTCTAAAATAAATAAGTAAATCTTTTTAAAAAAATAAACAAACAAATGGGAGTATATCCAATGAACAAGTTTTTGTAAGTGAAGGAAACTATTAACAAAATGAAAAGGCAATGTAGGAGATAATATTTGAGAATCATAAATTATAAAAGCAGCTAATAATATCCAAAATCTATAAAGAACTCACACCACCCAAAAGCAAAAAACAAAAAACAAAACAAACCCAATTTAAAAATGGGCAGAAGATCTGAGTAGACGTTTTTCCAAAGAATACATACAGATGGGCCAACAGGCATATGAAAACATGCTTGACATCACTAATCATCAGCAAAATGCAAATCAAAACCACAATAAGATCACCTTACACCTGTCAGAATAACTGCTATCAATCCCGCCCCCTACATACACATACACACTAAAATAACAAGCATTGTTGAGGATGTGCAGAAAAGGAAACCTTCATTCACTGTTGGTAAGAATGTAAATTAGTACCACTACTATGGAGAACAGTACAGAGGTTTCTCAAGAAATTAAAAATAGAACTACCATACAATCCAGCAATTCCACCTCTGGGTATTTATCCAAAGAAAACAAAAACACTAACTGGAAAAGATATATGCCCCTATGTTCATTACAGCATTATTTATAATAGCCAAGATATGGAAGCAACCTAAGTGTCCATCCATAGATGACTGGATAAATATGTGGTATAGATCTACAAGAGAATACCACTCAGCCATAAAAATGAATGAAATCCTGCCATTTGTGACAACATGGATAGACCTTGAAGTTATTAAGCTAATGAGTCAAACAGGGAAAGACAAATACCACATAATTTCACTTATATGTGGAATCTAAAACACAAAACAGATGAACAAACAAAACAAAGCAAAACCAGACTCATAGAAAACAGACTGATAGTTACCACAGGAGAGGGAGTTGGGGGGTGGGTAAAATGGGTGAAGAGGATCAAGAGGAACAAACTTCCAGTTATAAAATAAGTAAGTCATGGGGATATAATGTGCAGCATGGAGAATACAGATAATAATATTATTAACTCTGGTGATGGATGGTAACTAGACTTACCATGGGGATCATTTCATAATACATACAAATGTCAAATCACTACGTTGAACATCTGAAACTAATAGAATATTGTACATCAATTATATTTCAATTAATAACAAAAAAATGAAATACTGGTTCAGAGCTGGTGCATACACAATTAAATCTCATTTGTAAAAAGTTACATCCCATAGGGAGATAAAGGTACACTAATATTTGGAAGCTATAATCCATGCACTTTACTGTATCATTTTTTTTCTACTCATGAAATAAATGAAAAAAGATTTAACTTTTGAGATCATTTAAAATTATGTTCTTTAAAGGAAATAAAGGCAACGGCCATTTTTGAAAAAGAACTAAGCGTGTTTAAATGATAGTACCTTGAAGAAATTTCAACGCTTCTCCAGAGTTTAAAAATAAACAAAGACGAGAAGGAGGAAAAAAGGGAAAGCAGTCACAGCCCTGTGAATACAACACCACCTCAAAATTCAAGGGGAATTTCATAGCTTGTTATATAGCACTAACTATCAAGCCTCTTACTCCAGCAGAGTTCTAGGTAAACCAAAGGCTCAGCTTCCAGACATTCCATAAGGTATGTGCTTTACCAAAGAGGTGAAACCTGGAGTCACCACCATTAGGAGCATTCACCAGGAAGGTAGTACAATTGTTCAAATACTCAATTAACAAAATTAAATAATTTAACCACACACTTATCACTGACAGCCCATCTGTTTGTTTTACAACATACTAGATGCTTGTAATTAGCTGACAACGGTGTAAACCATGTCTCACGTTCTCAGTCACTGGTCTAAGGCCACTTTCCAGCTTTCCCCTTTCCTCTTCTTCCTCTTAAAGGAAGTTAAAAATAATAGTAATGATGATGACAACAAAAAAAGGAAGAAGTTCAAAATAAGAAGCCAAATAGTTCCTAAGTATATTTCACTGGGTAATTATTGGATGGGGCTTTAAGAGAGGATACAAGTAAACTGCAGTCACTTAACAGCTCACTTCCCCAGGACAAGGATGCGAGCATTTCCCGGGTTGTTGACAGAGGCCCATCAACCATGAATGGCAAAATCAAGTCACAGTATTTAAAGATATTAAAACAAAAACTTTTAATAAACCCAATAGTTTTTTCACAGAAAGAAGCAGCAGAATAAAAGAAACTCATACAACATTTGAACTTTTTAAAGATACACATTCTTTAAAGTAACAAAGTCATTAACAGCACAAAAGTTTGACATTTGAGTATGTAGAGATTGAAGAGAAGGAGCCACAGACCACATGGTGGGAAATAAATCAATAGCTTATTTAACTTTTAAAACTTTCAAACATAATCATAAAAATCTTACAAAAATTTAAGAACTAAATCAACCTAAAAATGAATCATTACCTAACTTATCTAGATCATTTTTATTGCATAAGTTTTTCCAGAAAACTGCTTTAAGCTCTCCCTTAATTCTGCAAATTCGGCTGAGTGCTGACTCTAAAGTGTTTCATCAATATCCAGCAAAGTAAAATGTTTGCAGGGATGTGTGATGACCAGTAACATTATCAGAATAATTTAAATGCTTGATTTCTTCATCAGCATAAGTGCTTTCTGTGATTATGATGTATACGTATGAATGAAGGAGCAGTTGGCCCCAAATGAAAATGTCCCTATTAAGCATATGCTAAATCAACACCACTCTATATCTGGGCATAAATGAAGATAAAAACACTCAACATTATGATTCAATTAAAAACCTCCAGGATACATTACCTGCCGCCTCGAGCACTGAAAGGCACTACATGGATTCCCAGAGGCCCTCCATCGTTGGGGACTCGTACGAGCTTTACCATATCACTGTGAGACAATGATGAATGAGGGAGCATGAACATGTACTGTAAACAAACCAAAACCGAAACAAAACAAAACAACAAAAAAAACTGCTACAACACAGACACACCATAAACAACAAGAGAACAAAACGAAAATCTCACCAAGCACACACGCATACACATACACATTCTGGAATATAAGCGTGGTGATGCGAGCGGCAGTAAACACTACATACCTGAACACTAGTCTGATGGCTTGGAGAGAGAGCATTCCTCAGAAATAACTACATTAAAATGACACAGAACCCCTTCTCTCGGACACACTCTTTTATGTGTAATACAAGTACACATTTTGTAAGTCAAACCTCTAGACTTCCACTGAAAATTTTCCATCCCAGTATTTATTTCAAGGATAATGAAGATTAAATGAATAAAGGTGTTTTGGCTGCACAGCACTTTAAAATTTACAAAGTGCTCCTGCGTAGGTCACATTATCAATCCTTCCAACAATCCAATGAGGTCAAAGCTTTTGTTTTGCCTCCATAGGTGACAGGCCAGATGTGATCCAGCTATCTTTATTTCCCACACTGTTCCACAACAATTCAAAGTCCTAAAGTTCTGTAAGTGTACCACAATGCCAGGAATGAAACTCATTCCTCAAAGCCAGTAGATACCTGCTAAAAATCAAGTAATTTCTGTGTTTGTAACTGAACCTTAAAGTCATGAAGAGAGATATAAGTAACATGAAGTTACTTCTATTACATAACAAAAGTACTTTACTATTAATAAGCCTGAGATTAATGAAAACTGGTGTAATTTTGAGAATGTAAATTTTCTAAATCTTTTAAGTGCAATTTCATTTTCTTTATAGAGTTTTCCGTGTGTGTGTGTGCGCGCGTGTGCGTGCGTGTGTGTAGTACACAGAAATCTAAGGTCTTATCTGACAATTTTTAAAAATAGTATTTCAATTAAATATCTAGTAGAAGCAACCTGGACAACTATAAAGATTACCAATGGATTTGACAAAGATTGCAGTTTAGTTTTTATATAATGGAAATGCCAATTCTTCAACTGTATTTCTAAAATAAAAACTTAAAGTTATTGTAGATACTATTATGTAATACAAAGAATAAAAGAAAATTATGTAATACAAAGACTAAAAGAAAATTAAAGACAGTGATATGAAACAAATCAAAACAAAATTAAGAATTTGGGCATAGATGTAATCACATATGCTAACTAGGAAAAAATTAAAATTTTGCCAAACTGCCAAAATATTTACTGAAGTAATACTATTTAAATGAATTTTTTATATTTTCATAGAATTTCACAACTTCTATTTTAGATACTCTTACATATCATTTGAGCATCTATTTAATGATTAGTTTGTCAATTGAAAATAGCACGGTAACTTTAATAAATTTATTTTATTCCACATTCTATCTATAAAGAACTAGGACATGGCAAGTACTTAACTTGCCAAGACTTATTACTTAACTGTAATAGAGAGTGCTGGTTGCTGTCTATCTAAACATAACCTGATTCTAGACCCTGTTTAATATCACTGAGAAAGTTCTGAGAGCCTTCCTTTGGAAGACCAAGAAAAGACAAAATTAAGAGTTTACACATGCTAATATCTAGGCCTCCTCAACTTTTACCCAAAGTCAGACAAAACTTCAGAATGACTGCCCTCCCTGGTCTAAACTACCAAGGGAAGAAATTCTGAGAACACCTTCCACTTAAACGTGCCAATACTTCAGATAATTGTAAAGTGGTGATAATATAGTAAAGTTTTCTTTGTCCTTTTATATGTAAAGTCATGTTTAAGGGCCCTAACCTATGACTCTAATTTTTCAACAATTATCTTGAGAGATTCCATTTCAAAAAAAATCGAAAAATATATACTAAAATGACTAACGCTTACATGATCCAACTGGTTTTTCGAGTAAAGTATATCTACACTTTTTTTTAATTTAGCAAAGTTGAAGAACAAATGACCAAAACACTGACATAGAAAGCAATCTGAAAACAGTTATAGTGCTGTTAACACAACAAACATTTTCAATCAAATACTATTTTATATTATCATTTAATAGTATTTGCCAAGGCATGAAACCAGGACAGGCACATGTAAATTTCCATGCTATACTTCTTACATTAGGTAGTTACAACTCAATAGATGAAAGATGCTCTTTGGAAAACAAACCAATGCAAGGCATGTTTTTAACTAAGCACAAACATTCCGCATGCCATATGGTTTTGGAATACTTGCTGCTATTAGTAATGCTACACGTATATTGCAAATTTAGTCAAAACCATCAGTAACTTACTCCAGAGAAAAGCTGGGTATGTTCTCCAAACCAGTGTCAGCATGTCCAACAGGTTCAACGCGACTGTTGTCTTCTTCTGTCCCATCCTCCTCCTAGAGACACACAGCACAAAGAAGAATACTCTGTGTTAGGTTTACTTCCAGAATGTGAAAGGAAATTGGATAAAACTGGAGTTTAGTAGGCATTCTGATCATGTTAACTAGGTTCTTCTTCTAGGGAGGATCAGCTTTAATGATAAGATGGGTATGTGTATATGCCAAGCTGTATTTTAAAGCCATAGTCTCCTGAGTTAGCATATCCCAGGTGATGGACAAGACACCACTGCAGTAAGGAAAGAACTTCTACTTATGTGAATGTTCTTATAATTCTTATTTCACTCTTTGGTTTATGTTTTCAGGAATAATTATGCATTACCACAATGCTACGTTAATAAATAAATGTGCAGGGTACAGGTGATACTTGTTTAAAATTTTTACTAATCCAAATAGTTGAGACCATTAAAAACCTTAACAACTACCAAAATCTTCAATGTTCCTCAGTTCCTACTAAACCAGCTTGTCAAAATGAGCATGAAGTACCATCCTAGACTCAAATCTTTCATCCTCTGATAAAGTTACCCTAAGCCAGCTGACTGGTTATCCAGAGGTATCTATGAAGGCATTAAGATCTTAGCCACAAAGAACCACTTCTGTTTACTCCTATTATGAAGGACCAAGCATAGGGAGAGGGACAAACAGCAAAATAATCAACCCCCACTTTCATATCCCTCCTTTTATGAAGGCAATATTGTAAGACATTATGTTCCAACATGTTGTAGAAACTGGGTGAGTACGCTGGTACTACAAAAGGTGCATGTGGAATAAATGTGATGGCTCCTAAAAATAAATGAAATGCCACTCAAGAATATGCCTCATTTTATAACCTTGACCATCATCTTTTCATTAAGGAGTTCATAGTTAAGTTGGCTTTTCAGGATAATTCAAATGATAAACATGGCTGACTGATATCAAAGGTCTTTTTAACCAAATTAGAATATTTGGAAAAGACTTGGAATCTCCAATCATAGTGGCTAAGTGGCTCAGTGTGCTTCACCTTGGATCCACAGTGTCTGGTACCCAGTAGATACTCTATATATTTTGCTAATAAAAACAAAATCATCCCTAGAAATCTTTGGGGTAATAAGTTTCCAAATACACATAAATAAAATTTATTTAATCTGTTTCTTGGAAGTTTGTATGTATAACTTATACAAACATAATTTGTTAGGTCTATCCTTTCCACTATATAAATTTGGTAACGGTGATTTTCTATGTGAATTTATTAAACCACCTATATGGGAATCTACCGTTAAAGAAAAATTTTATATTTTTAATCATGTATTTGAGAGACTCAGAGTAGAAATTTATATGCCATCAACAAAGACATCAATCAACAAAATGGTAAACAAAAGTTGTAGGTTCAGCAGTGTCAAGCAATATTTTAAATTCTTCACGCAACATTAAGGCAACACAGAGTAGCTGATAATACCTAATTGACAATTCCTCTGCGAATCCACCAAAATAAGGTGAAGGCACCAAGTTTTTCCATGAGTTGTAGACAGATGTGTCTTCAATGGCAGTGTACTGAATGAAGTAAAGGTACTTGAAGATTGATGATCCTATGATTTAAGAGGCTCTAATATGCACTTCTTAGTCATCTATCGCTTTTAAGCACAAGCACACAATACATTTCAAAGGTTAACCAGCATCTTGAACCTGCCTAAGGACCACACTTTAAATGTAAACAAGAACTCCTGAAATTAGGCTTTTCCACTGGCGGTGGGGGTAAGGAGGAGAGCAAAGTGATTGTTTATAAATCAGATGGAAAACACAAAAATAATCTTTCAAGTTAAAAACATTTCATTTCAGGATTCATTAATAATTTAAGCCCCACTGAAATGTTAACCATGATGTATAACCAGTGAAAACACCTAAGTTATACTATGAAACAGCCACATAAATGAAATGCCCCAAACTACAGTGATAAAACAGTAACTGATAATTTACACATTCATTGTTCCCAGAGTGGCCATTATCAGGCCCCCAAGAGCATGCAGAATATTATTTCATGCTGCTGCATATGGTGTTCAGTTTAGATCACAACATTCACTGCCCTGAGGCTGAGCTGCAATTGCTATGGGAACCACAACTTAAAATTTCCCAACTTCTGGATGGGTAAATATCAACTCCTGTGCTGCTTTATTTTGTTGTTTTGTACTTCTAAAAAGCTGTGAGTGAACATAGTTACTTTTAGCACAAGTTATATACTGAATTCCATTATAGACACAGAAAATGAAACTTGGTTTTTATTTATGTCAAATCAATACTGAAGGCCTAAAATACTAATTTAAACTACACAATGTTAAAAACTTCCAGGTGAGAAAATATTCTTTTTATCTTTTCCCTTCTCTCCATTTTATAGCATTTTATAGCAGAGTTTGGGTTCAAGAATTAAACAGAGTTGGGTGTGAGTACCAACTCTACCATTTGCCAATTTTATATCCTTAGGCAAGTTACATACCTCTTCTATATTTCTATCCCTTCTTCTGTAAAATACAAACAATAAAAACATCTTCCTAGGACTACTGAGAGGGATAAGATAATTTGTGTAACAAGCATAACATGGTGCCTAACACATAATAATTGCCCAGTAAATGTTAGCTAGTACTGAAAAGAGAAATAAATAATACATGACATATAAGACATACCGCAAATAAACGATTTAAGGCAATGTTACACAATTATATTTTAAGAGTAACACATTCATCCATTCATACTTTTTGCCTTACAAGACAACTTAATATTAAACATATTACCTACTCAATTAAATACAAAATCTACATTTTAGAAACATTCATAAAACCTGATATTTGTTGCATTTTGCTACATACAAAGTACCTTCGTTGTAAAATGTCTTTGAAATGAGAATACACATTAAAAAATATAAACAGCTAAATGATGTATACAATCAAATAAATGGCACAAGGAGGAAAACACTACGGGTTACTGGTTGAGGAAATTTTCAGAGGAAAAGCAGATGTCAAGAACTATGAAGAGGTATGCCTGGGTGGCTCAGTCAGTTAAGTGTCTGCCTTCGACTCAGGTCACGATCCCAGGGTCCTGGGATCGAGTCCCACATCGGGCTCCCTGCTCAGAAGGGAATCTGCTTCTCCCTCTGCCTGCCACTCTCCCTGCTCATGTGCTCACATGGTCTCTCTCTCTCTCTGACAAATAAATAAAATCTTAAAAAAAAAAAAAAAACACTATGAAGAGTCTATGATTTTATCCCACTTAAAAGCTCCTAAGTTAGCCTGCATCGCTTCATGGATGCTAGTGGGAAAAAATGAGACCCCCTGGGTCTGAGACAAAGGACAGTTTATTACAGCAATGAAGTATCATCCTGTTACACACTTTTCTGCAGCTAAAATTCTTACAAAGCGATGTGAAGAGAACCAGGAACGCTGGTGCACACAGAATAAACCTAAGCTTAGGGAAGGCAGCAGCATGTCTGCCCATTACTATGGAGGGAGACACTATATTGATCTTCCAAGGCTGTTTGCTGTACATACATCCTTGCAAGGATAGTCCACAACAAAGGCCTCTGCTCTCAAGACATACGAAAATGGAAGAGAAAAACGGAGAATTATCTCCCAACAACAGAGCTTAATCTAAGCATTGCCAAATGGTAGCATTTGTATGATTGCTAGCAAACTAAAACTAGGACTATCAGTAACAAAACGCCTTATCCTAACAATGCTTTTTAAAGTAACATTGAATTCTACTAGATAACAGAGTCATACCTTCTATATTAAAACAAATTTTTCAGTGGGGATTTCTATGTTCAACCAACCAAACAAACAAAAATCAAGTATGAAAGTTGAAAAAAAATCTTCAGATATGCGAAGTCTTTATTTCCCATGGACCCTTTCGTAGTAAGCTATTTTTGGATATGCTCCAGCAAAATCCAAGAAATTCAATAAAGCAATGGACAGAACCCAAGGAAAGTCCCAGAATAAGGTGAAAAGACAGCTCAGAGAAGAAGCCGCCAAGTCAGATTAGAGCAACAGGATACAGAAGTCTGGAAAGTCTATCTCCCTGAGGAAAAAAAAGAAATTAATAATTGGTCTGATATTTTTGAACATTTGGGAATTATTTTTTAACAGACCTGTTAGAGAATGTGGGGGGAAAGTTCAGAAATATAGAGATAAAACAAAATAGATTTTTCAAAGGTCAAAAGCAATGGACTCCAGGAACAACAAAGGAAAATGTATAGGGGGGGAAAAAAATCAGAGCACCTACTTGGTCATGCAGTGAGCCACAAACTGCCATCTAATGTGACACTGGCTACTGACTTCACTTAGACATCTGATGTAACACTAGCGAGGAGACGGGAACACAGCAGTTATTAAGTGGCAGAAAAGGAAAAACCTTCATCTCCCACAGTGCAAGTCAACAGATGTCAGTAACTGGTAGCCAGGAAAGAGCAACCTAAATATTTTATTTAGAAACATGGAAGTAAATACAAGAATAAATATCTACATAAAAGGTCCTCTGGGGAGAGTGACTGGAAGAATCAGGAGGAGAAGAGGGTGCTCACTTTTTCATTAAAAGCCTTCTAGTATTATTTTTATATTTTTATTCTGACTACATATTTGAGATGTCCAAAGTACCGAAGGCTGAAAGCCCAAACTGCCAGCAAGGCAGCATCCTTGGGAGGAGCAGTCCGCGTAACTGTCCTGGAGCTACTCCGTGGGTCCTAGCTCAGGTGCAGGAAAAGACTCCCATCAGTCTGCTCGGGCTTCCAAGCCTCAGGCCTCAGAGAAGTAGGTACCTCAAAACAACACCACTGGCAAAGCTGCTTGTCACATGTTTATAGTTTTCTGAGTCCATATGCAATTTACTAATCAGAGGTCACTTTTACCATATAAAGACAGTGGATGGAAGCCTTTATCAGGTTTTCAGAAAAAGAGAGCCAAAAAATAACCGAAGTTTAAATTCTCATGCAGAAGAAGGGAAAGATTTTGTTACTCTTTTGCCTTATTACCATATTATAT